TCTCTCTCTCTCTCTCTCTCTCTCTCTCTCTCTCTCTCTCTCTCTCTCTCTCTCTCTCTCTCTCTCTCTGTCTCTCTCTCTCTCTCTCTTTCTCTGTCTCTCTCCCTCTCTCGCTCTCTCACGCTCCCTCTCTCCTTCTCTCTCTTTCTCTCGCCATCTCCACCGACCTGAAAAGTCCTGCCATGCTGGGTTTGCGTAGACCGTCAGAATGCCCACACATGTACGTGATCTGTAGTCGGGATTCGCGCGGTGGCGATTACATTGGGTTCAGTCGCCGCGAACAAGCAGTGTCGTGTGATCCAACAGGGATTTCTCTCCGTGAGTTCGATGTGTGATAGGGAGTCTATGACGTTCGGGGCCATTTGATCGTGACGTTTGATTGGGCCGTGTGATGAAGGCGGAGATCGCCTCTATGTCGCTCTCTCTCTCTCTCGCTATCTCTTTATCTCTCTTTCTGTCTTTTATCTCGTTCGTCTCACTGCGCTTGTCTGTGTCATTCGCACAAAGTTTGTGAGCATAACTGACAAGCGCAGACAAACAAACGAGACAGAACCAACAGCGTCGTGTTCCACCACCATCGTCGTTAGTTTTTTATCAGTGCCTCTATGATGTTCATCTTTTCCGTCGGCCTGCTCTCGCGAATCTAGTTCCATTGGCGACCACTCGCCCTGATCAGATGGCACACTCACACGTCCACGTGGCAGGTCCTGAACAAGCGTGGGCTCGCTGATGGATGCGGGGCTCTATGTGGCAACAGAATGTTGTCGAATAGAGCCCCACACCCATCAGCGTGGCCACGCATGATCACGACTTGACACGTGGACGTGTGTGCCGTCGTGGTCAACTACCATCTTCGTCCCCGTCGTTCGTTTGTCTTCAGCGCCTCTATTTCGTTCGTCTTATGCGTTGGCCTGTTTCTTTCGCGAACGTACCTCGGGGTGCGTTTGCGAATCTCGTTCCATTGACGACCACTCGCCCCGATCAGATGGCATAGTCAAACGTCCACGTGTCAGTTCCTGAACAAGCGTGTGCACGCTGATGGATGTGAGGCTCTATGCGGCAGCAAAAAGGATGCCAGGCTGCAATATAGCCCCGCACCCATCAGCGTGGCCACGCATGTTCAGGACATGACATGCGGACGTGTGAGTGTGCCATCTGATCGGGGCGAGATGAAGGAGTTTCATGAGCAAGAATGCATGCGTTTCATTGGCGATCACTCGCACCGATCAGATGGCACACTCAGACGTCCACGTGTCACGTCGTGAACAAGCGTGGCCACGCTGATGGATGCAGGGCTCTATGCGACAAAGGGGCTCTATGCGGCAACAAAATGGATGCAAGGCTCCAATATAGCCCTGCGCCCATCAGCGTTGCCACGCATGTTCAGGACATGACATGCGGACGTGTGAGTGTACCATCTGATCGGGGCAAGATAAAGGAGTTTCGGGAGCAAGAATGCATGCGTTTCATTGGCGATCACTCGCACCAATCAGATGGCATACTCAGACGTCCACGTGTCACATCTTGAACAAGCGTGGCCACGCTGATGGATGCGGGGCTCTTTCTGATCGTCGCCACGCATGTTCAGGAGCTGTCACGTGGACATGTGAGTGTGCCATCTGATGGGGGCGAGTGGTCACCAACGAAACGGGACCCGCGAATGCAGCCCGAGACTTTTGCGACACGCACTTCGAGATTGTGCCGTCACTTCAGATGTTTTCTTGAAGTGTTACTCGCTTGTCGTCAATTTGTTATCTCTCTCACGAAATGCGATATAAGGATTTCAGTCGTATGTTGTCGAACACGAGAACATGGTTTCTCACGAATCGTGTCTCTTCCGGATTGCATATGGACTTTCTTCTCGCCGACTAAATTTTTCTTGTGCTCGGTTTGTTTATTTGTTTTCCGCGTAAGTCGCGTCGTGCAGCTCGCTCGGCGTTCGGTTCTGTATCCGTAAAATGTCCTCCACATTCATCGAATTTTTCACATTTTTCGCCAATCTTCCTCTCGCCGACACGAACAATTTTTTCTTAAATTTCTTTTGTGCCGTTTTATTAACGGGTCACATTGCGAATTTCGAAATGGACAACACCATCCGCAGGATCTGCACATGGAGAGACATAGAGCTAAAGACAGGCTCTCTCGCTGCGCATCCTCTCCTTGTCGACGTCTCTATCGATCTTAGTCTCCCTTCCGACTCTATCGAAATTAGTCTCCTTGTCGACGTCTCTATCGACGTTTCTTAAATTTCTCCAATCTTTGTGTATCGCAGACAGTCGCTCAACCGATCTCAGGTTGGTCCCCCAATCACAGATCAGTAATCCTAAGACTGCTACGACAGATTCGAAGATACAGGAGGCAAACGTGAATTCAAATCTTTAAACCCTATGAAACCTCGCGTCAGCCGATCGCCGCGAGGAACCCTTCCGCTGACTTGGACACAGGACAGGACACGGAGCGATCAAATGCTCATAGGGTATTGTGGACGGCGATATGTTTGACCAACCATGAGGACGACAGCCCACCCTGTCCATACCATCTTGTGGTGGCGCAACAACTGACGTATCCGAGCCACCCTTGTTAATTTCGGTTGCATCTGAGTCACAACCCACTAAAACTCTCTGGGCGACCACTAACCGAGGCACCTCGGCAAAGTTCGGATTAATCCAAACCACACTGATGGCAAATTTGGATTTGTCACATGCTCAGACGGTATTTACGGCGCCGCACGTTCCGATAAACGTGAACGACAAAATCACACGCTGTCAAAAGACCGTTCCGTCTCGGATTAATCTGAAACACACCTCCGGCAGGATAGGGTCCACCCTCTGCTCACAGGTCATTGAGAAAAACACGCCGTGCCGATGTCCTCCTCTTGTGGTCGGCCTAATTCGGATGCATCCGAGTCACAACGTCAGTCTTTCGACTCTGCCCAGTTCGGATGTGTCTGAACTACCACGCTATCTTCGTCTTCCAGAAAGCTGCCTCGGATTCATGCAACTAAAACGAGTCGAGATGGTTATGCTCGGTGGAAGAACGACGAGCTAGAAACTTGTCCTGCGACTACAGCAAACGTGTCTGTTGTTTGGATTGGGCGAGCAACAACCAACTAAAACTCATGACGACGACGATATCCCCCGTGATGACGCACATATTATATGATACACTACGGCAATCGCGGGGAGGTCCGGTGTGTGGTGGGGCGACAGCAAAGCGAAGCGCCTCGGCGAAGTCGGATTAATCCGAACCACACCGGTGGCATTTTCGGATTTACCACATGCACAAAGGGTATTCACGACGTCGCACGGTCTGATAAACTTGTACGTCGAAAGCACACGGTGTCGGCGCAGCCTGTTGTGGTCGCACGTATCGGGACAGCCTCTGTTGAAATCGGATAAATCCAAGCCACACCCGTCTTAAACACTCAAGGACGAAGACACACCGTGCGAAATTCGGTTTGACCCGACGACAGCTGGGGAATAACGGAAGCTTGGATGGCAGGATGGGCGTCAACAGACCGTGGGGTCCATCCGCCGGTCCCCGTCTCGGATTAATCCGAGCCACATTTGCGAAGTTCATGTTCAACCGAACCGAACCTCCGGCAGGATAGGGTTAACCCAGTGCTCGCAGGTCAGTGACGAAAACACGTGCTCTAGATGACCTCTTGTGGACGACCGTCTCTAGACCGCGCTGTTCGAGTTCGGATGCATCCGAGTCACAACCTTTACTGACTCAGAAGGACAAGAAAACGCGAGTTCGGTTTCGTACGGGCCGGAAGGGGGAGGTCCACACCGCTTTGGAGCTCGGATTCATCCGAACTACAACGGCGGACTTTACAATCCACTTGTCGACTTCGGATGACAACATATTCGTCTTCGTCTGCCGTATCAGTGTTCTAGGGCCTTCTTGCGAGGTGTTGCTTTTCCCGGTGCAGGTGCCTATGCGACATCGGTTTTTCGACTGCGCCTGCTTCGGATGTATCCGATCTATCCCACGGTCTTCGTTTTCGACCATTCATTCTCTTAAGGGCAGTGTGACGAGGATGGCTCTCGATGCCTCCGATTCGTCCGAAACGTGCAGGCTTGTGGACCACTGTCGTCTAACTGTGACTGAAGTTTGTTTTTTTAGAGTCCGGGTGACCGATAACAGAATACGTGTTGTGGGTCGTGGTTAATGTTGGGCGTGCTGACTGTTCTGAGTGAATGTGGGTTCATTTCCTCCGTGTGTTTTAGGGAATGGCTTCACATGGACGAGGCCGCTCCACTGGTGGTTCCGCCCCGCACGGAGAGGAGCGTCGAGGGACAACGTCGTCGCCGGCAAGGGAAACGAGTCGGGGAGTTGGAGGTGGGGAGGAAGAACGACGTGCTCAAAACTTGCGGTGGGACTACAGCAAACACGTCTGGTATTTGGACTGGGCGAGCCAGGACGGCTCCCACCCGTTGCAACCACCGTGCGGGCCGCTCTTGTTCGTCGCCGTTCGCGCCGATAGAACGCGTCTCGCAGGGTCCATCGTCCAGTGGGTCGACGATGGCGAACACAATTTCAAGTTTACGTTGAAGAAGCATTACAGAAGAGATGGTTCTGTCGACGACATCGCAAAGGGATGCAAGGTTGCCAGGAGGATGTTCGGCGGGTACGGCCGTCGTGCGATGTCTTTGCCTTACTTTCTCCCGCTAGCGCCGGGGCACGACGAGGCTGTTCACGTCACAGACTTCCTCGCGGTCTGGGCGAAATCTGGTACCTTTGTCAGTGCCGTGGACGTCGAACCTGGAACATCGATTAGTGGTCCTGTTGGGTTCGCAGGAGGAGAGTGCTCTGAAAGGGAGATGGGAGGTCAGGGTGGCCTGCCAGCTACGCCTCCTGATCAAGAGGTGGGCATGTCAGACGACTCGGAGGACGACCATCCGCGTGCTCCTTTGAAACCGGGCATGCATGTATCTCGCCGCCAAGGTTTGCTTGGGGAGTCGACGCGACATGGAGGCGGCGATGGCAAACGGTTGCGACAGGGCTCAGAATCGACGACTCCTCGTGGTCTGGTCGAAAGGATCGGTTCGTTTATTCGTGGCATGCAGGTGGCCGAGGTTTCGCCTGGAGATCGAGCGGGTGGTCCGCAGGTTCGAGAGGTGCGTGGGTCAGATGAGACGACTCGCCGGGCCCGACCAGCGTCGGGGGAACTGCAGACGGAGTTGAGTCAGGAACGAGAAGCAAGTGGGAACGTCGCCGGTGAGGAGGAGGTGTCCGAGCAGGGGCTGTTCCGTGAGAGATCGGCTGAAAAGACTCAGTCGGGAGGCAAGCGCAACTTGCCGGATGAGGAAGAGCGAGAGGGACTAGGTGCTCTGAAAAGGCAGAGAAAGGTAGGAGGGAGTGCTCAGACGCCAACAACACGAGAGAGCGGTTCCATTGAGAAGAGAAAAAGGGTTGGAGGTGGGGATGAAACGCCAAAAGACTCGTCGACACAGCGAAGAACCGGTGAGTCTTCCGGGAAAAGGGCGAAATCATCGAGGGGGAAGAAAGCAGCCGAGGGCGACAACGGGGAGGGGGATGACGACGTGGAGATTAACCTCAACGCCTTTAACCTCGACAATGCTTTCTTCCTCGAGATGCAGACAGGGGTGCAGAAGGACGTCGTGTTGCACATCCATCCCGAAAGAATATTAGCTATTCCAGACTGGGAAGACGCGTACAACCACCGATCCTTGGACGAGTTCCTCGTTGATACCATCGCGTCGGCTATGATCGACTGCTACGAACGTAAAGACATGAGATACACGAAGCCCGTTTTCGTCGCGCCTCCAGAGAACGGCCAGCCTGCTGTGCGCGTGCTGCCTGCTGACTTCGACAGCTCACACCCGGAGAAATACTGGTATTATCCTGTGTGTGGACAGCATAACGCGAGGGCGGCGATGATGGTGAAAGACCATCCCGTGTTTGATTACTACAACTTCTCTAAATGGCTGTTTAGACCGATCTACTTCCCTGACGACGAGTTCGACGGTCACGCCCATGTCAGCTGCAAAGACAACATGAAAGACAAGAAGAATCCACCGCGCTTGCAGGTTTTGTCTATGCGGGACATTCGCAATATCTGGAAAATTAAGGGCAAACCGCGTGTGGTGCTCGACAATGCCTCGAAGAAACAGGACGAGGTGCGAAAGTGGGTGCGATTCATGGCGTTGGCAATGAAGAAGACGCCGTACACGCCTATCTGGAACCTGTCAACGGAAGCAAAGAAAAGAAAGGAATGGGCAGAGAAACTTCGATACTACCTCCCGCTGGCCATGGCAGATGACTCCGTCTTCGCTTTGGGGTTGAAGTTCTATGAGGAGTGGTCGAAAGGGAAACTCCTTGCTTCCGACGGCCGACGTTGGACTGAAAAGCCGCCCACCCATGAGGAGGTGGCCAAGCCAGGACTCTCCACTGTGACTGACAGCCAGGGGCTGAAGAAACACGTCTGGTACGTGAAGGTCGACGACCCGTCATTGAAAAAGGGCAGGGGGAAGCCAAAGAAAGGCGCAGAGGAGAAAACTTTCTACGTCGAAGTTCCAGAGCCGGATGTCCACTGCTGGAAGGAATTGGTGGACTTGACGGACCACGAGAAGAAAAGGCTGTTGAACGGCGTCTTTAACCTTAACGTCGTGTGGGTTCAAACGAGTAGCAAAAAGTTGGCCGAGCAGGGGAAGTTCAGTGTCAAGGAGATGGTCGACATAATAAAAATGGACCGGATCATGCTGAGGCTGTGGCATTACGCGGAGTTCGAGTACGAGGAAATGGATAAGCGGGAGTGGAATGTCAAATCCACGTTCTTCAGGTCCAAGAAGCAACTGTTTGAAGAGTTCAAGGACAGAGGTCTCGACGACAAGCTTTGGAACGAGAGCAGGAAATTTTTCACGGACACCACATACGTCAACAAGTGCCCTCAGTTTCTCGGGTGTCAACACGACAACAACATCAAGAGAACGGCGGCCCTCGTCTACGACCAGCATTTCCCGGCGGAGTGGAAGCGTGTCGTCCTTTCGGTGATCACTGGAGATCGCGCCAAAGGCAAAAAAAGCTCTCGGGGCGTTGATGAATGCATCAACATTATGTGGACAAGGACAAGCGCCTTGACGACGCTGGCCCAGTTTAACGTCGACCCATTGACTCCATAGATCAAAAGGACGCACTGGGAAAACTAGGGCATCAGCTACGCTCCCACACTTGCGTGCTCGACTTGTGCGGTGCTGTGGAACGTGCGCAATGGGACTCTGGGGCATTCGCGTCTCTGAGTGAGTTGTTGGGCTTCGTTTGTCAGGAATACTGGACATTGGTGGTATTCGTCCCCTGCCTGTAGAACCTCTCCTTCATGACATGTTTGTCTGCGCTTGGGGCTACCCGATGCTACACGGGGAAGTGGGTTCGGAAGACGGCTTCGAAGAAGACGCATCAGTTCGAAAACAACGTCTGGGAGGAGCCGGATGTGATGCACATCCTTTTCAAAGGCGAGGATCCTCGGCTACTGACTCACCTGGTGTATGAGGGAGCTGTTGCTGAAGACGCCGCCGCCGCTCTCCGGAGGAAACAAAAAGTGACACCCACGGATGTGGAGGAGAAGTCTTTCAAGTCTTTGACTTTCGTGGACATCGGAAACCTGACCCAGAGGGGGGCTCTGTACAAGGACGGCGAGCGGAATCCGAATCAGTTGTGCAATCAGCTTCGTTTCTTCTGTGGTGTGGCGGATGTCGTGCTGTTCTTGGGCAAGCTGCACGCGCAGGTGGTGTGGAGTCTGCTTCAGCGGGGAAGGCACGTCTTGGCCATGGATGGGGACACAACGCAACTCAAATATACCGTGCAGTATGTCACCCATGAAGTGTCGTCCAAGGCTTACCCATGCGATTTCCACCATGTCGTGGTCGAGCCCGTTTATGACCCGAACAAGGACATGTTCTTCAAGTTGACTCTGAAGAAAAGGCGCCTGGTCTACTCGTTCCTTTACGGGGAACAACCAAGGTTGAGATTTGACCCGCAGCACGTGGTGCAGAAGGAAGTCGCCATTGCGGTCCTCCAGGGCTACCACGGGGCAAGTCGGGCCGGCGCTGTGATCTTCATTAAGAGGCTGGAATATGTCTTTTTTAACGAGGATGTTGTCGATCCGGCCGACTTCACTTTGGATAAGTACAAGCTGGCATTAGGTGAGGAGGACGACTTCAATATCGAGACTGAGCAGGAGGAGAGCGTTGAGGACGACCTCTTCGATTTGGACAGGCAATTGGCCATCTTCAACGCCTAAGTTTCTGAGTCGCCATCAGTATGCAAACCGGGGACACCTCTCGCTACACCTACCTCGGGCGGTCCCACGCCCGTGTCCTCCTCATCGCCTGTCAAGTGGGGTGGGTTGTCCCGTCTGAGGAGTTCGCCGGGGGAGCCTATTCGTCTCACACCGCAGCCCGAACGTCTTCGACCCGGCCATCCAGTTCCTCCGGACCATCCGCATCTCAAGGCTCCTGCGACTCCCTTCCACATGGGCGACAAACATACCTTCTCCACAGTCGAAGATTGGGGCCATGATATCGTGTGGCACCCAGACCATTTCCAGCTAGTCCTTCTCGACGGCGAATGGGTAGTGGCTATGAGGGACGTAAGTGGAGGGTGGATATATGACAATCGTTGGGACCTCGCGACATTCAAATCTCGCGCCTACGATGCGGTATTGGAGAGATTAAGTTAGGTCAATTGAGGAAATAAGGACGACCCTGCTCTTCGCAAATACGGGGACACGCTGTTCGAGTTCTTGCAGTCAAATAAATGGCTGGAAGTGTCCTCCGCGTTCTACGCCCTTCCGTCAAGCCCGTCAATTAAGCAAGTGAGTTGGGACTTGCCTGGAGTCACCCCGCCGGCAGGAGTTGTGAAGCGCAAGTCTCACGGAAAGGACGGCGACGGGGATGGTGAAGGCGGCGGGCAACGAGGTACCGGAGGTGGAAGTGAACAGCGTTCGACGAAACACCGGTCTCCGGGGCACGCAGGCGGCGGAGAGGGGAAGAAGGGCAGCCGGGAGAAGAAGAAGCCTCACAGCGAAGAGAAGACAAAGCATCACAGAGGAGACGGGCAGGGGTCCGATGTCGACCGCGACAAGGACAGTGGGGTTCTGGCGGTAACAGGCAGCACCTCAATGGAGACGGGGAACGACTTGAGGTCTGGGTGTATTACGCGGCCTGGCGAGCAGGACCCTGTGATTAGCTCCACCAGCGAAACACAATTTGTCGATGCGGTTGGCGGGGCGGGTGTCGCAAAGCATGGAACATGCTTCGCTCAACTCCAAAAACGGTTGGCGGATTGTCTCGGATCAATCCGAACCTCGGAGACGACCTCATTGTCCGGAACTTAGTGCCTTTCGGGAAACGAGACGACAACATACCACGGGTCCGGCAGCGACAAGCTGGAACCGTGTTCCGTTTCGCCTCAAAAGGAATTTCAGATTAATCCGAACCGCGAAGGCCGTGCCATCGAGGGAGCACAGTTGTCTACAGAACTCGAACGGGTGGTCCGGGTTTCCGAAAACCCTGGCGACGAAATTCGGATTCATCTGAACCAGGAAGCCGTGTCTGCCATGATAGACGATCGGTGTCAGGATGCAGTAATGCTGTGCGTGGAAGCCCACAAGGATCTGCAGGCGGACTGTCGGACTGAAGGTGAGTTGGCGACCAGTTCCAATGTCGAGCCCAACACACTCGGAGCCGAGTTAGCAGTCGTAAGCGACTCCCCGGTGAAAGCGGTCATGTCGGCGTCATTGGAAACTGCGGGGGCTCGGATGAATCCGAACCAGGGCCCTGTGAACATCTCCCTCCCTGATGCATCTTTGGAGACGACCGTGATTCGGATTTATCTGAGGCACACGGACGAAGGACTTCAACTGGCAGGCGTTGAGGGTTGTCGACTACTGACGACTTTGGACAAGGACAATTCCGCCGACGACCAGTTTGATCCGATACTCACCGACGTCGGGATGGAGCTGCCAGTTCAGCCGGGATACGACGATCCCTTGTACTCCGCCCTTCACAACGAGGCGATGGGGGATGACGTTCTGAAGAAGGTCTCTGACGCTGTTGGAGGTAGATTTCTCTATTTGAGTGACGACGACAAAGACACAGCGTACGGGTACAAGAAGTTAAGGGGGGGAGAGGTGTTGTTGGACATCCATGGGACATTGAGCCCAACACAATACGACACAGTGGCAATGGAGAAAACACAACCTGTCGATGTTGTGGACGTCGACGATCTTTGTCCGGAGATGAATATACCGTCTACGGTCATCGATGCCGACATCTCGAGCCTGTCAAGTTTCCCTGTGGGTTTGGAGCACGTCGTCGCCGCATCGACGCGCGCAGGGGTGCCAATCGTGCTGGGACTGTCGTCGGTGGGCTCTGGTGAAGTGGTAGCTAGGCCTGGTAAGCACTGACTTTCTCTGCTTTCTTCCCGCTCGTCAGCCCGTTCGTGAAGTGTTGTTTGCTTCGTCGATTTCGGGGAGGTGTATAGACGACCGACAACTCGATTGTGACGATGTGCTTTGTGAGGTGTTGTTTGCTTGGTTGCTCTTGCGAACTTGTGTTGTTGATCTCCTGCTGAACTGTCTAGGTGGCTATTTCTTGTACAGGTCGACGAACTCATGGACACCCATGTCGCAGGAGCCGCCTGCCCTCGCCAGGTTGTTAGTCCTGGTTGCGGGAGGCACTGGTCGTCGCAATGTCACTGATGCGTTTCCTGGGGACACTAAGCCTCGAGGCCCTCCTAGAAGGGTAGTCGTGCCCGTATTGGGCTCCCGCGCAAGACTCGTTGCAGAGGCAGCGGGTGTTGCCGAAAAAGACTGCAAGGAATTCCTTCTCGAGGCTTGCAGGGATATAAAGGATAGTGCTAGTTTAGAATCAACTGTGTGTAGAAGGTCCAGAAGTAGGGGTGACGTTATGCGTGAACTTTTCGGACCATAGAGTAGCGGTTCCTCGGACCATGGCCGCTAGGACGACATTTTCTCATAGTGCCCCGTCCTTTGTGCTTGCTGTGTGCTTCGGGTGTTTGTTGAACAGGGTTTCCTCGAGATGGAAGAGCGGTCCTTGAAGACATTATCTGCTCCCGGTTGCCACTCACTATCATCGTCGTGCGTTTGCCGTCGCACAGTTTACAGGTATCCGTCAAGGACATCGTCACACTCGTGGATAGATCCGGGGAGCTCAACGATGAGGTTGTCAATTTCTACATGGCGATGCTGCTGGACGATTGCGGCCGGACTGCCGCTACCATGAAGACATACACCTTTAACTCCTTCTTTGCCTCTTCACTGCTTCTGCGAGGTCTGGCAGCTATTCTTAGATGGGCTAAAGATGTCGACCTCCTGTCTCATGACCTCGTCTTGGCACCAGTGCACAAGGATGGCGAACACTGGAGCCTTTTCGCCATTGACTTCTCTAGACGTGTTTTGGAAATCTATGATTCTTTCTCATGTTCGTCATCCAAAGATTTCTTCTACTCCGCACTTCTGGATAAAACTGTTAAATTTTTTAGCACGGTGGCAGGTGCCGCCGGTGATGGTCGCACTTTCGACCACTTCGCTCGAGAAGTCAGCGTGAAAGGTGTCCCTCGGCAGCACGACGGGGCTAGTTGTGGGGTGTTCATGTTGATGTTCGCTTCCTGTTTAGCGAGAGGTTTACGTCCACCTTTTGGTTTCTCCCATAGACACATCTCCTCTATCAGAGCTAGACTAGCTTTGGCGATCTGCGATGTTGGTAGGTAAGCGTCTATCTCTTTGTTGATCATGTAGTGTAGAAGGTTTGACGTAGAAGAACATTTCGTTCTTCTCCGGATGAAATTTGTTCCTTTTCATTTTTTCCGTGAGGGACTGGTGGGTGTTCTCGGTTTGGTTCAGAGCAGAACTGGCTGTCACTGCCAGGAAATCTCCGGGTGAACTTGTCATGTCCCCGGCGTGTTTGTCGTCGACAATATTGTTCTTTCTCATTGGATTTCAATTATCACGAACGTCCCCGTTGTTGGGGCGCCTGTTTCGCGATTGAATATCTCGCTTTCGTCATTTTGTGCCTTGTGTGGTGTGATGTTCTGCCCGCATACTCGGATGCATCTGGACTCGAACTAACTCTATGCTTTTCTGCCTCTCTCTCGAACCTCCCCCGTCGTCTACACTCATCTATGCATTTTCACTTTGAATGTTGTGAGGCG